TCGTTAAATCCACATTTGTGCTTCGGTTCGTTACAGACTGACCCACTGTTTGTGTCTCGCTCCTTCTGATGCAGAGACACATGTACACACCTGTTTGGTCACGACACACACAGCAACATACATTCGGTTTGTCGATTAAAATGAACGTAATCGAAGAAATTCTTTATGATCAATTATCGATTAATCGACTAATCATGCCCATCCCTAATCACTGCCATGATTTAGACTTTTATTTTCACTGAATCGTATTGAATGATTTGAAATGAAAAGTTTTAGAACACCCTAGTTTTTCCAGTTATTTGTTGCAGTTTAAGTCGTGCAAGTCCAGTGAAAAAAACTGAACAGACAGAGGTTTTAAAAAAAGATAAAAGAACAAAACACAAGTCCAATTTCTGCCAAAACCACCTCAGGAAAAAAGAACAAGATGGTAAAACTTGAAAATCTGGAGTGTCCAGCAGCAGCACAGTGTCCAGACTTAAACCCCGTGGAGCTGGTTTGGGATGAACTGGACTGAAGAGTGAAGCAACCGACAAGTGCCACACATTTATGGAAACTTCTGCGACAGACTTGGGAAGAACTTTCTCAACAATATTTGATTTGTGTTGTAAAAAGAACGAGCCACGAGTGTTTTCAGCTGTTCTATCTGACAAACGTCGACACACACGTCAGTCTAAAGTTTAGAATGAGTTTTGGTCAAACAGGAAAAAACTGGAAAAAATTTGGTGTTCTAAAACTCTGGATATCGTATCGAATCGAAAGCTCACTGTATCAAGACATGTATCGTATCGGCAACTTCTCAGCGATACCTGCCCTAATACTGTGGACACTTTAAAGGTTGTATAGAGGATTTTTTAAGGGAAGAGAAATACAGCGACAGTCCTTTTTTCAAATGTTGTGCATGTGTGACACCACCTTCCTCCTTCACAGCCTCAGTAGAAACATCTCCTCCCGCCTCCTGACTTTAGAAATCACGCTTGTTTACATCCAGTGCGCGTTCAGAATTACTGTTGAAGTTTCCTGTCTAGAAGTAATTTAATGACCGATGCGTCAGTTTTTAGACTCTCCGTCTGCTTCGTTCACGCAATCGCTGGAAGGAATCTCCCAGAATCACCTCAGTTTGTCTTCGCTCCTTTTCTCCTTCTCTTCTTCTTCTTTCAGCGACCTCAAAAACTGACTTTCTTTCGCGGCGAACTGGTCGTGGATTCTCGTCCGCCATCGCTGCAAACTTTGTGCGAATTGCGAGGAAGCGACAGTTTAAAAAACCCGCTAAGAACCGCCGCATAAACCACGTAATCCCAGCGCGTCGGCGAGTCAGTTACACTAGAAACGTAAGAAGTTTGATTGACAACCTAACAGCCAATAGAAAATGAGGGAGCCTCGTTTTCTATTGGCTGATGTTTATCTGGCCTCAACACGTCCACAGTTGATGGATTTTCATTCTTTTTTTTTTTTTGGTCATCATAATTACAATTCTGCTGCGTCTCTGTAATGGTGTTTTAAACTTTCACTGACAATTTGAAACAAAAAAAAAATCCTCCATACAACCTTTAAACCAGTAATGTCAAACTCAGGCGAGATCAAATCAAATCTGTTTTAGAGCTGCGCGCGGCTACAGATCGACTATAGAGACATTATTTATTTAAAATGTTATTATTTTATATTTTGCTTAAACACTGAATCTAGAACAAGCAAAACTATTATTAAACATTTATTTTAATAAGAAAAGGTTTAACGTTACATATCTCGAAAGAAGAGAAAACAAGCTGATGTTGTTGAAACGTTTCAATAAATATTCACGACTTGGTCCCAGTTTTTAATTTTGGCCTCTGTGAATTTGAGTTCGACACTCCTGCTGTAAACCAGAGCATCAACATCTCCATGGAGACAAACAGGTTGCGGACCCCCTCCAGAAAAGTTACACAGTGCACCTTTAACAACAGTTCTGAAGGGAATTATTCTGAGCTTTCGGTTGGTCAGAAATAGAAGTCATTTTGTCCATAAAATGACTTGGACAGTTATGGACGGTCCCCATATTCTCCCGTGACAATGAAAAGCAGTTTTTATGCTTTTTCTCACTGCTATTTTAAAGTTTCCTGTTATTTTCTGGTTTCATGGATCTTATTTTCCTGTTTTATCATTGTTGTTGTTCTTCTTCTTCAGGGGATGGTTCCGTTTGTGTTCGTGGGGACGAAGGAGGCCATTTCTAACGCTACGGTTCTGCTGGACTACCACCTCAACTACCTCAAGGTCTGATCTCAACCACGTTTTAACACTCTCACCGTAACATTTGTGTAATAAACAAAAGACTCCTGTTGGTTTTCAAAGGCTTTTAGTCCTTCTCAAATAGTGGTGTGACAGAGATAATGAAACAAACTACACTCTCTCCCGAAAGCGAAGACGAGTAAATATGTCGAAGTGTCCGTAGCGCTCGGCTTCACTGTGACGACGGTGGGAAACGAGGAAAGACCGCTGTGTTTACTGTGTCTAAAAGTGTGGACAGTGGACAGCATGAAGACAAATAAATTCTGGCGTCACTTTATAACATTACACCCCAATCACGCTGAGGCCCCGTTTACACGTAGCCGGGTATTTTAAAAAAAGAAATAGAATATTTCCCTCCCTCCGTTTTCCAAAAAAACATCATGCACACGGCATCGTTTTCAAAAAAGTTTCCGTTTACGCTAACCCGGATAAATACGCCTTCGAGCGCCGCCAGAACTACACCGAGCCTCTGGGAACACCTGGATTACACTCAAACCTGTAGCATTTATTTTATTACAGTTGTAAGTTTTACTCAATAATACCTTGAAAAACAACGTGCATTAGTGAGCGGCTCGCCTCTCCACAGATCTGTTAAAGAAGTGGTAAAATCACTGACCTCCGAGTCGTCGTTCATCTCTGCTCATGGATCTGATCCATCAGTGTGTGGAAATGAAACACATGAAAAGTGTTTCAGCAGAACAAACAGATGAGCTGAAGTGGGGGGTGGTTTTTAAAAATCCCCGTGTACGTGTAAACGAGGCCTGAGAGGACGCTTGAGTTTTTCAGCAAAAATGTGCCGAATATCGCCAACAATCGTCCCGCTTTGTAAATACAAACGAGAGTATTTATAGTCGTGGCGGAGAGTGGAAAGGCGCAAAATGTTTTCTTCTTCCGGGGGGGGAGGGGTAACAGAAAATAAATGAGAAGCAGAGCATAATGTTCATGATTCAATCTTAAGGAGCTCAGAGGGATGGGTTTTGGGCTCAGAGTTATGGCAAAGAAATGAGCTAAGCTAAGACACTTTTAAGTAGTGCAATTTAACACAAAAAGAGCCACATTTCCTCCTCCGTGGTCTTCTGTCTGCTCCAAATCACTTTTTTTGTTTTGTTTTTTACCCAGGATTGTCTGTGGACCTCTCGTTTAAAAACACCACAGACTGATCTCTGACCATCTGACATGTCTGAGTCTCTCTATTAAAAATTAAAAACTGTCTGGCCCCAGAATGAACATTGCATCACAAGTGGGTCCGGTCAAACAGAAGTAAACAACACGGCCAAAAATTCAAGTTAATTCATCTGATATAAAAATGTATTGAACAGATACATATGTCTCTAGTTTATTAAACTGTTGACCTTTTTTCTGGACCATTTTTGGTTCTAAAGTTCCATATGTTTTAAACAGACCATGTATGAAACATGGAACAAAAATTATTTCCCAAATTTCAAAGACCCAAAAATCATGTAAATAAACTGATGTATTTCATCATATCTTGTGTTATTCCATCTTTGAACTGTTGATGAAGGGACATGATTTAAAAAAAAAAATGTATTTAAAATGATAAAAATTTGCTTGGAAGGACTGACATATTTTATAGAAATAGTTTCTTTCATTTTGAAGTAATATTAAAGTATTTGGAAGAAAAAAGCGACAAATGATGTAAAATCCTGCACCTTCTACTTGTTTGTACAATTTTCCCTCCGTTACTTTTCCTCCGTTACCATGAACTTTCTTAATAAAAAATCTCATTAATCAAAAAGTAAGAGGTTTTTCAACCTAATCTTGTACCATATGGTAGAAAACTATATGAAGCAAATATTCAAACCAGTTTGTTAAGGATATGGAAGTGAGAACCAAGAGTTTTCACTGTTTGGATTTATTGACCAAAAAGTGCTGCATATTTCATTCCCTCCGTTACCGACATGAGTTTTTAAATTTTTTGTCAACAACTTGAAAGAATATGACAGGTTTAACTTGACCCTGTTGGAGTGTATCTCTTTCCTACATTCTGATACTTTACTTATTTCAATAGTTCCTCTAGTTTCTGAATAAGAGACATTTGAATGTCAAAAATCTGCCTGTTTCCTCCGTTAACACTTGACCAGACCCAAGTGGAATATTTTACAGAATGTTCTTTTCCAAACCTTAAACCCAAACCCCGTGTCTCGTGCAGGAGGTGGACCAGCTGAGACTGGAGCGTCTGCAGATCGACGAGCAGCTGAGGCAGATCGGAGGAGCCGGACCGGGGACCGGCCCCAGGAACGCCAAGGACAAAGTCTACGTGTTCGACAACGGCAACAACGCGGGGAGAGCGGAGAGAGGAGAGCGAGGAGAGAGGGGGGAGAGGGGGGAGAGGGGGAGGCCCTACGGAGGGAGGGGCCGAGGACGCAGAGGAGCGTTCACATCAGGTAAAGCACAACTCCACGCTCTGGTTTCATCTGGTTATTGGATATAAAATTAACAGACTTTTACTGCCACCTGTTAGAGCAGATTGGGATTTTTAAAAACCTCTAACGGTGATTTACACGAGGACTTAAGAACCGTGTCGTGTTATGCCGATTTAGCGAAGAAAATGAGTTCAGTTGCATGAAATATCTTAAATAGTGAGACAGATCTGAGTCCTGCTGCGATACACACTCCTCTGTGAGTTTATGGAGATAAAAAAGGGAGGAGGACGGGAGGAGGAGTAGGAGCGAGGACGGGAGGAGGAGGAGCGAGGACGGGAGGAGGAGGAGCGGAGGACGGGAGGAGGAGGAGCGAGGACGGGAGGAGGAGGAGGGAGGACGGGGAGGAGGAGGAGTGGAGGACGAGGAGGAGGAGGAGGAGGACGGGAGGAGGAGGAGCGAGGACGGGAGGAGGGAGGACGGGAGGAGGAGGAGGGAGGACGGGAGGAGGAGGAGGAGGACGGAGGAGGAGGAGGAGGACGAGGAGGAGGAGGAGGAGGACGGGAGGAGGAGGAAGGAGGACGGGAGGAGGAGGAGGAGGACGAGGACGGAGGAGGAGGAGGAGGAGGGAGGAGGGAGGAGGAGAGGAGGAGGAGGAGCGAGGACGAGGAGGAGGAGGAGCGAGGACGAGGAGGAGGAGGAGGGAGGGAGGACGGGAGGAGGAGGAGGAGGAGGACGAGGAGGAGGAGGAGCGAGGACGGGAGGAGGAGGAGGAGGAGGACGAGGAGGAGGAGGAGGAGGACGGGAGGAGGAGGAGGGAGGACGGGGAGGAGGAGGAGGGAGGACGGAGGAGGAGAGGAGGAGGAGAGGAGGAGGAGGAGGAGGAGGAGGAGGACGAGGACGGGGAGGAGGAGGAGGACGGAGGAGGAGGAGGAGGACGGGAGGAGGAGGAGGAGGAGGAGGAGGAGTGAGGACTGGTTTAGACCTGGTTTTAGACCTGGTTTTAGACCTGGTTTTAGACCTGGTGTAGACCTGGTTTTAGACCTGGTTTGATGTCCAGCAATGAGTGGAATTACCGAGGAAAAAAAACAAAAAACGGATTTAGCCCAAAATGTAAAAACAGTAAAATCCCTCTGTGTAATCTATTTATTTCAACAAAGTAACTGTAATCCAATTACCACTCACTGAAACAGTAACTGTAACTGAATACAGTTACTCATAATTTGTACTCTGATTACTCCGGTACATGTAATCTGTTACTCCCCAACACTGACTGTCGGTAACTCCAGTGTTCGTGTCAGCGTTTGGGAATCGAGAAAGTCACTTACACATTTAAAAACTAATTTAATACGAGTGCAGAGACTAAAAATCCAGAAGTATCAACATGTGTGTCAGAAGAAGAGCTGTATCAGTGTGTCTCATAAACTTTCCTGATGGGCTCAAACTTGTGTCGGCGAGGAGGGAGTGGAACGTGTCAGGTTCAGCGGCTTTTTCAGGATCTGGGCCGTTTGCCACGACTGCAGAGTGAAGGTGAATACGTCGACTAAAACGCCGTGTTTTGTTTCTCCAGGCACAAACTCGGAGGCGTCGAACGCGTCAGAGACGGAGTCGGACCACAGAGACGAGCTCAGCGATTGGTCGCTGGCTCCGGCCGACGAGCTGATGACAGGAGGCGGGACTTTGCCCCGGCGCAGCGGCGAGGGCAGGAGGCGGGGCAGTGGGGCGGGGCTACGAGGGAGAGGAGGGAGAGGAAGAGGAGGGTACAAAGGTGAGAGAAATGTCTATTTATTTATTATTTTACTCGACAGAAACGGTTAAAACCAAAACAAATGCCTTAAATATGACTCTAACGTGAGTTAAAGAGGGAACATTCCACATCAGAAACCTGCCTGAAGAGTTTATAGAGTCATCCAGGCATGTTTGAGTCATCTAGAGATCTCTCCTGGGCCCTATTCAAACCCTCCTTACGTTTAGCAATACAAGGATGAACATGGCTCCGCCCACAAACCCACATCACCCTTGCTCCACGTTATTTTTTGGCAAATGCAGCATTTTGAAAACAATAAAAAGGTAAAATATGTGACGTGTTTCAGTTAATTCCCCAGAGAAGTTAAATACGTCCTGTTTCTCTTCCGGTTTATTTACTGTTAACGATTCATTTCACAAACACTTGGACTCGTGTGTAACGTAAAATAAACATGTTTATAAAGTAAACTATGACAGTGCGGGGTGTCCCAAAAATTTGACGGAATTTTGGGAATTCTTCTTGAAATAACCTCTAATTTTTAGCCCCAAAAACGTCATCACCGTCTAAACGAAAGGCACGTCCCATAAAATATTTAGTCGTTTTCAGCCGCGAGTAAACAGGCCCTTATACAAGAAATGTCCTATTTTGGACCAATTTGATCCCCGCTAACAGTAAAGAGACATAAACTGCCATTTGTTTAGTTAAAATACAAAAAAATCTGCTTAAAAACGACCAAAACACAAAGAAAACATGACTGTACTGACTCAGTTTTCCTCAATTATTGCACTCGTTTCACAATTTTATTACCGTAAATTCCGAACTATAAGCCACTACTTTTTTCTCCCACTTTGAACCCTGTGGCGAATAAAACAACACGGCGAATATGTGGATGGATTCTTTGTTTGGCACATTATCCATTTGTATATACAAGTTTGGGACGTTTGATTTTTCACGCTAAGTTCAGCCCAAATACGACACATGAAATCAACACAATCTGACCCTGGATTTTATTCTTTGCTCCTAGTTCATTTCCTAATGTTTTATAGAAGTATCAGATCGGGACTCGGTATCAGCAGATACTCAAAATCAAATGACTCGGACTCAAAATGTGATCGGGACATCCCTAGAACTGACCCAACGCAAAAAGACGACAAAATCTTTCAGAGGCGATAAAAGCAAACGGACTGAACTTGTAAACGTTCTCGAAGACGTGGACACCTGCGGCTTTTATTCAGGTGCGCTCAGTAGTCCAGAAAATTCTGTAGGGTCAGTCCGTTTTCAAGGAATCTCCCCCGTGAGCCATTTCAGATTTGGCTGAAAAATTTTCTAAAAATTTCTAAAATCACCAAATGAAAGAATCTCAAATTTTAGCTCAGTCCCTTGAGTCGTTCCTGAGTTATGTCCCATTGAAATTTTGGGGCCATGTTCACTTTTTCTGAAGCCTTAATTTATAAACATGTTTGAGAGACCAGAACTTCATCAAAAATAGAGCGAGGAAGCTGAAAACGTGTATTACTGTAGATTCTTGGTCATAGATTCTGAATTTCTTGTCAAATATTGTGTATCTTTATTAAGGGGGGGCGTTGTGGGCCCCCAAAATCTCACATTTAGTTGACGCTCAATTTTTTATTTTTATTTTTGAGGTCCAAGATCTATTTACTCCAAGCAGATATTTACAAACAAACTGTTGAACCTGAATAATTGAGAGAATGACCATTTCTGACACAAATCTCACACTTTTCTGAGTTTTCATGTGGACGGTGTAGAGTCCCAAATATGGTCACAGAATAAATGTGATCTTTTTGGCCCCTACTTTGGAGCCTCGGTTCCCCATGTGGACACAGTTACAGTAGATGTTGATTAAAATTTTTTACGAGAGAAACTTTGGCATATTCAGATTAGTTTAAATCAGTGGTGCTCAATACGTCGAACTCGATCTACCAGTCGATCGCCAAGGTCGTGTGGGTAGATCGCCGTGTCTCATCTCGGTTTGGACTCGGTCTTGTCTCTCACTCGAGGTCTGACACTCAACAAGTGTGATCATATTTCATTGCGGCCGCTGCTGTTGGTAATAAACTTGTAGCGGGTGCAGGAGCGTGTGGGGCGTCTCAGTGCAGCCTGTGCGCTCATTTGAAACCCGCGGAGACTCTACGGCGCATCACAAACACACACGCTCCCTATGCACGGCTCGTCTGCGACAGCGTGTGCCCTCGTGTACCAGCGTGCATCACAGGGCAGGTTCAACTTCCTAAACATCCTACCTGTCCACCTGCCTCACGTCAGCACGCCGCCCCTCGCCTTTTCACGCTCTCGCTCCTTCCTGCGTACAGCCAACACAAGCCCCTCCCACAGTGCGGCTGATTAGAAGAGCAAGACCAAACGTGAAGCAAAAACCAGTCTAAATTTGTGTTCCAGTGTTGGCACAAAGCAGGTCTACAGCATAGAGCGGATCTACAGAACAGACCTACTGCCACATTTGGCTGAAGTTTGTCTAACAAAAGTGACAAATGCATCTGTGTTTGTCACGATGTGCGTTTGGTTTGGTAAACGTGCAGAGGCTGGTAAATATCACTGCAAAACCAGAAAAGAATGTAACTCCAGTTTGGAACTTTAAAAAACAGGTTTAAAAATCTTCCTTCACTTTTTTCACAGTTTTGTGTAAAGTGCCAGAGGAAGTTCTCTTAAAGAAGAGGTTCTCAAACTGTGGGGGAGGGTCCAAAAAAGGGGCACAGAGTGTTTCAGTGCAGTTTGTTTGGCTTTGTATTAGGTCGATCATTTTGACTTGGTCATTTTGTAAGTAGCTCGCACGATGAAAAAGTGTGAATGTAATAAAAACATCGACTATTAACTTCCTTCATTTCAAACGGAATTTTTGAAAACGAGCTCTCACGGGTCATTTTTGGTTGAGCTTATGGACTTTTTCACCTGATAGAAAGGTTCAGTTATCTTTAATAGATTTAAACACTAACATTTGAGATTCTTTCAGTCGGTGATTTTATAAATTTTCCTCGATGTCCCTGTTTTTTTTATTTTGAAATTCTGGTCACTCTAGTTTTGAGCTTTACAGATGTGGACAGACGAATAATAAAGAGTTACTCAAACAAAAAAAATGTGCGAATGAAACAAAACACAAGTCCAGGTCTGAATTAAACCTCACACGAGTCCGTTTTGAGTAACACGAGACCTTTTAAACACCGTCTATTTTTACTCCCACTGCTTTATTTCTCATTAAAAGTTACGAATTCCAAAAAAAAGAATAAAAGCGTCGTATAAAAATGTTGGTGTTGGTGAGTCAGAGGTAAAATATTTCTCGGAGCGTTTCCTCAAATCAAAAGCCCGAAATGGATCAAATAATGAGATCTGTGTGAGTCCTCGTCTTTTAAAGGTCCTCGTTAAATCTGCTCCCGAAGAAAAACCAGACCAAACACCGGAGGGAAACAAAAACAAAACAAACAAAAAACAGGACGATTCTCACAGAACGGGCTGTAATTACCGAGTCCGACCACATGAAACAGAACCCGGGACGGAGTTTAAAGCCACACTGTGGCACTTTTTCACTTTCAGCAGGTTTTACGGCTCAAAAATGCCAAGAAAAACAGACATTGTGAGTGTGAGCGGCGTCGCCTCTCCACAGATCTGACCTGGAACTTGCTCCAGTTTGGTCTCGATGAACATAGAACGGTTTAATGCCAGACTGTGGAACATTCTAGGACTAAACCAGGACTAAACCAGGTCTAATCTAAGACTAAACTAGGTCTAAACCAGGACTAAATCAGGACTGAACCAGGACTAAATTGGGTCTAAACCAGGACTAAATTGGGTCTAAACCAGGACTAAATTGGGTCTAAACCAGGACTAAATTAGGTCTAAACCAGGACTAAATTAGGTCTAAACCAGGACTAAATTGGGTCTAAACCAGGACTAAATTGGGTCTAAACCAGGACTAAATTAGGTCTAAATCAGGACTGAACAGGACTAAATCAGGACTAAACCAGGACTAAATAAGGTCTAAACCAGGACTAAATCAGGACTAAACCAGGACTAAATTAGGACTAATCTAAGACTAAACTAGGACTGAACCAGGACTAAACTGAATTTTCAGTCCCACCCGCGCCCACAGTGAACTTTCAAAATGTGTCTTGCGCCGCACTGAGAGCAGGACTCTACCCCGAGACCATGGATCAGTCCTGGTTTAGTCCTGGTTTAGTCCTGGTTCAGTCCTGGTTCAGTCCTGGTTTAGTCCTGGTTCAGTCCTGGTTTAGTCCTGGTTTAGTCCTGGTTTAGTCCTGGTTTAGTCCTGGTTTAGTCCTGGTTTAGTCCTGGTTTAGTCCTGGTTCAGTCCTGGTTCAGTCCTGGTTTTAGTCCTGGTTCAGTCCTGGTTCAGTCCTGGTTTAGTCCTGGTTTAGTCCTGGTTTAGTCCTGGTTCAGTCCTGGTTCAGTCCTGGTTTAGTCCTGGTTCAGTCCTGGTTCAGTCCTGGTTCAGTCCTGGTTTAGTCCTGGTTTAGTCCTGGTTCAGTCCTGGTTCAGTCCTGGTTTAGTCCTGGTTTAGTCCTGGTTTAGTCCTGGTCTTGTCTTTAGCTCCTCTAAGGCGAGACTCACGTTCAGCCCGTTTGAAATCCCCTGATCTAAAGACGTTCAATTATAAGATTCAACATTTGTGTTTTAATAATAATAATAATAATACTCCTGATGTAGGAACACACTCCGGGGCTTTTCCACGGCCTTTGATCATTTATATTTTCTATTTTTGGATATGGATTTTTCTGTAGAACTGAATAACATGTGTGTTTGTGTTTGTGTTTGTGTTTCAGGAGAGGAGCTGCCGTGGGGAGAGTCCAGACCTCGTCACATCAGAGACACAAAGTCCAGAGGTCCAGAGGACTCTTTACAGGTGACCCACGACACTCACCTTCATTTGTTTTTCAATATAAAACTTAAAAAAAAGGAAATGAATAAACAACTATTTTCTTCTCCGAAACCAAAATGAAAAAAAAAAGAAAAAAAAAACTGATAATGATGAGGTTTTTTTCAGTTTTTGATTTTGTGTTTAAATGAGAAATGGAAAAAAAATAAACTGATAACGACCGTTTCCCGTTTACGTGACGGTGATCCAGGACTGGGACCAGACCAGAACTGAGACCAGGGCTGAGACCGTGAACGGGACCAGAACTGAGATCAGAACTGAGATCAGGACTGAGGCCGGGACTGAGATGAGGACAGAGATGAGGACAGAGATGAGGACACAGGCCGAGACTGAGACCAGAACTGAGATGAGGACAGAGACAGAGACAGAGATCGGGACAGAGACAGAGGCCGGGACAGAGACAGAGGCCGGGACCGAGGCCGGGACCGAGGCCGGGACAGAGACAGAGGCCGGGACAGAGATCGAGACCGAGGCCGGGACAGAGACCGAGGCCGGGACAGAGACCGAGGCCGGGACAGAGAGACCGAGGGACAGAGATCGAGACAGAGGCCGGGACAGAGGCCGGGACAGAGACAGAGGCCGGGAGAGGACGAGGACAGAGGCCGGGACAGAGATCGGGACAGAGACAGAGGCCGGGACAGAGGCCGGGACAGAGGCCGGGACAGAGGACAGAGGGGACAGAGACAGAGGCCGGGACAGAGACAGAGGCCGGGACAGAGGACAGAGGCCGGGACAGAGACAGAGGCCGGGACAGAGACAGAGGCCGGGACAGAGGCCGGGGCCGGGACAGAGACAGAGGCCGGGACAGAGACAGAGGCCGGGACAGAGGCCGGGACAGAGGCCGGGACAGAGACAGAGATCGGGACAGAGACAGAGATCGGGACAGAGACAGAGGCCGGGACAGAGACAGAGGCCGGGACAGAGACAGAGGACAGAGACAGAGACAGAGGCCGGGACAGAGACAGAGGCCGGGACAGAGACAGAGGCCGGGACAGAGGCCGGGACAGAGGCCGGGACAGAGGCCGGGACAGAGGCCGGGACAGAGACAGAGACAGAGATCGGGACAGAGGCCGAGACAGAGACCGGGACAGAGATCGGGACAGGGACTGAGGCCGGGACTGAGGCCGGGACTGAGGCCGGGACTGAGGCCGGGACTGAGGCCGGGACTGAGACTGGGACCAGACCAGAACTGAAACCGGGAACAGGACCAGGGCTGAGACGGGGACTGAAAACTGTTTAGTCCTGGTTTAGTCCTGGTTTAGTCCTGGTTTAGTCCTGGTTTAGTCCTGGTTTAGTCCTGGTTTAGTCCTGGTTTAGACCTGGTTTAGTCCTGGTTTAGACCTGGTTTAGTCCTGGTTTAGTCCTGGTTTAGACTTGGTTTAGACCTGGTTTAGACCTGGTTTAGACCTGGTTTAGTCCTGGTTTAGTTCTGGTTTAGTCCTGGTTTAGTCCTGGTTTAGTCCGTTGTCCGTTTTTTTCCATTTTTCAACACAAAATTGAAAAACTGAAAAAACAAATCTTTATCTGTTTTTTTAATTTAGGTTTTGGAGACAAATAGTGAAGAAAATCGTAGTTTTTTTTTCATTTTCTTATTTTTTGTTTTATTTTGAAAAGCAAATGAACAAATGACACACGGATTGTGGTGAAAATAATATTAGTTTAATTTGATTTCGGTTTGTGTTTTGTATTTGTTGTGGTGCTGCTTTATGTTTTTGTGTTTTGTTTGGTTTTTTGTCAAACTTTATTTTCTGTTTTCTTTAATAAATAAAATAAAAAAATGCAGACAGAGACTGAGACCGAGACCAGACCAGAACTGAAACCGGGAACAGGACCAGGGCTGAGACGGGGACTGAAAACTGTTTAGTCCTGGTTTAGTCCTTGGTTTAGTTTACCTGGTTTAGTGGTTTAGTCCTGGTTTAGTCCTGGTTTACTGGTTTCTGGTTTAGTCCTGGTTTAGACCTGGTTTAGTCCTGGTTTAGTCCTGGTTTAGACTTGGTTTAGTCCTGGTTTAGACCTGGTTTAGACCTGGTTTAGTCCTGGTTTAGTCCTGGTTTAGTCCTGGTTTAGACCTGGTTTAGTCCTGGTTTAGTCCTGGTTTAGACTTGGTTTAGTCCTGGTTTAGACCTGGTTTAGTCCTGGTTTAACTTGGTTTAGTCCTGGTTTAGTCCTGGTTTAGACCTTGGTTTAGTCCTGGTTTAGTCCTGGTTTAGTCCTGGTTTAGACCTGGTTTAGTCCTGGTTTAGTCCTGGTTTAGACCTGGTTTAGTCCTGGTTTACCTGGTTTAGACCTGGTTTAGTCCTGGTCCTGGTTTAGTCCTGGTTGGTTTAGTCCTGGTTTAGTCCTGGTCCTGGTTTAGTCCTGGTTTAGACTTGGTTTAGTCCTGGTTTAGTCCTTAGTTTTTCATTTTCTTATTTTTTGTTTTATTTTGAAAAGCAAATGAACAAATGACACACGGATTGTAGTGAAAATAATAATAGTTTAATTTGATTTCGGTTTGTGTTTTGTATTTGTTGTGGTGCTGCTTTATGTTTTTGTGTTTTGTTTGGTTTTTTGTCAAACTTTATTTTCTGTTTTCTTTAATAAATAAAATAAAAAACTCACTTCTCTGTTTCCCCCGTCAGATCCGCGTGGACGGAAACGAGCGCAGCGTCCAGCACTCGTCCAGAGGCGGCGGCGGCGGAGGCGGCGCTCCGTCCCACCACCGTCCAATCAGAGGGCTGAAGAAGGACAAGCCGGACGCCCCGCCGCCGCCGCTCGTCAACGGGGTGTCGTAGGCGCCCCCTTCAGGACACTCACGGCACTGACAAAAAAAAAAAAAAAAACAGAAACACACCCACAACAACAACGACAACGACGACAACAACAACAACTCCGGCTTCTCTCGGTCCACTTTTACCGCCCTGGATCTGCGCACCGCCGTTTTCAAATTTCCAAATGACTCTTTTGTTTTGTTTTTTTGTTTGTTTTGGGGCCGAAAGACTCTCACGCCCGGCACTTCCACACGAAATGCAACTTAAATTTACCAGAGTTCTGTTTCGTTGTTGTTTTTTTTCCTCGCATTTATTTCAAACGGAACTGTCGACGCCAGAACGGTTTAGAAATTGTCGGGGGAAAAAAAAAGAAAAAAAAAAAGTGATTTCTTTGTTGTAAAAAATCGCTCTTGTACATGAGGTCTGTAGTGTTGCCTTTTTGAACCGAGGGCGCGTGGAATAGCGGTTCTCGGGAAAATAGTCCAGGTTTTAGTCCAGGGATAGACCGAGAATAGTCCAGGTTTAGTCCAGGTTTAGTCCAGGGTCTGTACTTTAAACTTTAAACGTCTCTTACGCGGCTGTGAATTCTTAGCAGTTTTAACGTGTTATTACTGAGAAACTGATTTTTACACGGAGTCCAAACCGAGTCGAGATGTTGGATGCAAAAAAAAAAAAAAAAAAAAATAAAAAAAAAAAAAGCGAAAAAGCCTTAAAATCCGAACGGGGAGGAGCAGCAGCCGAGCGGGACGACGGGGCCGCGCTCACACTGGGCTTCAAACTAACAAAGCAAAAACAAACAAATAAACGGGGAAAAATACTGTATTTTTTAATTTAATCAAACTCCATTTATGAACTTATCGAAACGTTGTGTAAAAAGAAAAACGAAAAGTCACTAAGGCAACTTCTGTGTTCACAATAAAAATGCTTTATAGACTCCTTAACTTTTATTTTATTTATGTTTGTGAACGACGTCGAGCTTCGAAGATCAGACCAGACGGACGTGTTTAATCCCTGCGTCGTTCGTTTGTTTTTCAAAATAAAAACAAAAATAAGAAAAAGAAAAAAAAAACTATTTTCTTCATTGTTTAAAAAAGCAGGTAATGATTTGTTTTTTCAGTTTTTGATTTTGTGTTTAAATGAAAAATGGAAAAACCGGAGAACGGACTGAACCAGAACTAAACCGGTTGCAATCCTGGTCTCAGTCTTGGTCCGGTCTCGGCCTCAGTCCTGGTCTCAGTCCTGATCCTGGTCCTGGTCTGGTCCTGGTCTCGGTCCTGGTCTGAGTCCTAAACCAGGACTGAATCAGGACTAAATCAGGACTAAACCGGTTGCAATCCTGGTCTGAGTCCCAGTCTGGTCCATGTCTCAGTCCTGGTCTGGTCCTGGTACCAGTCTCAGTCCTAAACCAGGTCTAAACCAGGTGCAGTCATGGTCTCAGTCCTGGTCTGGTCCCAACCTCGGTCCTGGTCCTGGTCCTGGTCCCGGTCTCAGTCCTGGTCTGGACTAAACCGGAGACTAAACCGGAGACTAAACCGGGACTAAACCGGGACTAAACCGGAGACTAAACCGGGACTAAACCGGGTCTAAACCGGGACTAAACCGGGACTAAACCGGGACTAAACCGGGTCTAAACCTGAGACTAAACCTGAGACTAAACCGGGACTAAACCGGGACTAAACCTGAGACTAAACCGGGACTAAACCTGAGACTAAACCTGAGACTAAACCGGGACTAAACTGGGTCTAAACCTGAGACTAAACCTGAGACTAAACCTGAGACTAAACCTGAGACTAAACCTGAGAAACTGAGACTAAACCGGGTCTAAACCAGTTGCAGTCCTGGTCTGGTCCCACTCTCAGTCCTGGTCCTGGTTCTGGTCTGGTCACGATCTTAGTCCTAAACCAGGACTGAACCAGGCCTGTTTAAATTATTAAACACAAAATCAAAAACTGAAAAAACGAATCATCATCTGTTTTTTCATTTTGGTTTCAGAGACAAATAATGAAGAAATAGTTGTTGTTTTTTTTTCTCTGTTTTCTTATTTTCGGTTTTATTTTGAAAAACAAATGAACGAACAACACAGGGACTGCTTTACTTTTGAGTATTTTTGTGCCAGTCACACACAGATCAGAAATAAACGGCATTATTACATTTTCACTGGGTGCATTTTTAATTAGAAACTTAGAATAATTTTAATTTCGGTTTAGTTTTCAGTCTGAACGGTCAGGTCACATTCATCCCACCTGCACCTCACAAATGTTCTTCTCTTCGTCTCTTGTTTCTTCTTTCCAGAGACTCCTTGGTTTTTGACATCGGGAAAAAAAAAAAAAAAAAAAACGGCGAAAAAATGAAATCGCAACTTCTCGAAAACTAAAATTTGAGGTTGTGTCTTTCTCGGCTCTGACTTTCCCACGCGCCAATTTTCTTTTGCAACCGGACGACGTGAAGGTTCAAATTACGGTTTTATCGGGTGAATTAAGGTCAGTGTTGGGAAGTTTACTTTTAAAACATAACAGATTACAGATTACACACACCAAAATGTAGTTTGTAACGTAATCCATTAACATTACTTAAAGTGAGTAATGTAATCTGATTACTTTGGATTACTTGATTTGCTGTAGAGAAACAAAGACGAGGAAATCTTCACATAAGAAGTTTTATCTACTAAAAGAAAATAAAAAGTCCAGACTTTTACTTAAACTTATTAAAAATATTATTGATAGAAGAAGAGACACGTCCACACAGCAGGATTTAGACCTGTTCAATCTTGTGTTAGTCCAGGGGTTTAGTCCTGGTTTAGATCTGGTTTAGATCTGGTTTTAGACCTGGTTTTAGACCTGGATTTAGACCTGGTTTAGACCTGGTTTAGTCCTGGTTTAGACCTGGTTTTAGACCTGGTTTTAGTCCTGGTTTAGTCCTGGGTTAGATCTGGTTTAGTCCTGGTTTAGTCCTGGTTTAGACCTGGATTTAGACCTGGTTTAGTTCTGGTTTAGACCTGGTTTAGTCCTGGTTTAGACCTAGTTTAGATCTGGTTTTAGACCTGGTTTTAGACCTGGATTTAGACCTGGTTTAGACCTGGTTTAGTCCTGGTTTAGCCCTGGTTTAGCCCTGGTTTAGACCTGGTTTAGACCTGGTTTAGACCTGGTTTTAGACCTGGTTTAGTCTTGGTTTAGACCTAGTTTAGATCTGGTTTTAGACCTGGATTTAGACCTGGATTTAGCCCTGGTTTAGACCTGGTTTAGTTTCTGGCAATGAGTGGAATTACCTGAAAAAAAAAGGGGAGGATTTAGCCCAAAACACGAAAAAAGGAAAACAGTAAAATCCCTCTGTTTAATCCATTTATTTCAACAAAGTAACTGTAATCCAATTCCCACTCACTGAAACAGTAACTGTAACTGAATACAGTTACTCATCATTTGTACTCTGATTACTCCGGTACATGTAATCTGTTACTCCCCGACACTGATTAAGGTGGAGAGAACGTGGATCCTGAAACCCATGGAAGATCATTTGTTCCATCAGATTTTGAATTTTAAATACCACCGAATTTCTCACTTTTAATAATTTTTATTCTGAATTTTAGTGGCTGAAATTTGAAGTTTACTTGCGTGTACTATGTTTTAAAATCAAAATAAAATAAAAAATTCACCACGGATATTTTCAAGCCCTGGAAATTCAGAACGTCAAATTCGCAGTGAAGAAATTTCACGGCAAAAATCCAAGATGCCAAGGCAGAAGCAATCGATCACGTGAGCGAGGAGGACGGAGGCTGTTTCCTATTGGCTGTTCTCATCTGTGGGCGGGGCTTACACTTAACCAATCAAAGAGATGAGGTTTCGATGAGGCGAATTTTGACCAATCAGATCGCGTCGCTGCAACATTTCCTGTTTGTTACTAAGTTTGGATCGATTGCTTCTGCCTCGGCATCTCGGATCTTTACTGTGAATTTTCTTCTTTCTACTTTGAATTTTGACCGTTGAATTTGAGGATTTGAAAATATTTGTGCTGAATATTTAAAAGGTTATTTTTATTTTTAAATTTTTTATATATATATATTGAATTTTATACACTGAAAACGTACACTTAAAATTTCAGCAAGCAAAAATTCATAATAAAAATAATTCAAACGTGTTTTTTGTTTTTTTTTCAGAATTTAAAAATTTCAAAGTGAGAAATTCAACAGCGTTTAAAATTCAAAATCCGGCGAAACAAATGATCTTCCATAGAAACCCGCCAGTTGTTACTACAGTGTTCACACAGAGTTCCCACGCTCATGGAAACTGAAAATGTCATTTTTCAGGCCTGGAAAAGTCATGGAATTTGAGTCTGTTCTGATTATTTCTGAACGTCTGCGACTTTTTGTTTTTTTAAAAGAGACGACAATAAATGCAGTGACAGGATTTTGAACGTTAAAAAACTATAATCCCAAACCTTAAGGTGAGTGGAAAGATTTAAACATTTTATATTTAACTCTAAAAGTAAAAGTCGGATCAGTTCTGCACATGTTGGGGCCGTAAAGCAGAAGCGGGGACTTGGACTCGAGTCAGACTTGAGACTCGATCAAACGGACTAAGACTTGGGACTCGACTCGGACTTGAGGCGTGTGACTTGAGAAGACTCGAAGTTTCTCCTAAAAAGAAAAAAACGTGTTTTTATAAAATACTTTTCTCTCTACAGTTAATAAAAGCGGTGATTAAATTTACAGGAACGAACTGGAACATGTCGCTCCCACTTCTGTTTGTTACTACGGCAACAGAAACTGAAGTACTGTGACGTAGTATTCTCAAAAGTACTACAGTAATACACAGTACAACGCAGTAAAGCAGAGAGAACTACACTGAACATGATCCTTCCTTTTCAGCACAAAATAACTATTATCACTTTTAAATCAGATTTTTTCAGTTTTGACCGTCATGATTCACACTAAAATATTGACAAAATATTTTAAAAGAAAAAAATGTACATTTCTACAACTGTATAAATACTCATATATAAATATACCGTGACTTTTAAATACAGTTTAGTTTAAAATTCGTATAAATTGCAAAAATCTAAGTTCTATTTGGTGCTTCAATTTAAAGACTTGAATTGACTTGAAGTTCAAAGCGGGACTTGGACTCGACTTGGACTCGACTTGGACTCATGGGTCAGCGACTCGAGACTCGACTTGGACTCGACTCAACTCGAGACTCGACTTGGACTTGACTTGGACTCATGGGTCAGTGACTCGAGACTTGACTTGGACTTGACTCGAGACTCGACTTGGACTTGACTCGAGACTCGACTTGGACTTGACTTGGACTCATGGGCCAGCGACTCGAGACTCAACTTGGACTTGACTTGGACTCATGGGTCAGTGACTCGAGACTTGACTTGGACTTGACTCAAAGCTCGACTTGCACTTGACTCAAGACTCGACTTGGACTTGACTCGAAACTCGACTTGGACTTGACTTGGACTCATGGGCCAGTGACTTGAGACTCGACTTGGACTTGACTCGGACTCATGGGCCAGTGACTCGAGACTCGACTTGGACTTGACTCGAGACTTGACCTGGACTTGAGACTCGGACTCATGGGCCAGTGACTCGAGACTCGACTTGGACTGGACTTGACTTGGACTCTTGGACCCGGGACTCGACTTGGACTTGACTCGAGACTCGACTTGGACTTGACTTGGACTCATGGGCCAGTGACTCGAGACTCGACTTAGACTCGCACGTGTTTGGACTTGAGACTTGACTTGGACTTGAGACTCGCCAAAACAAAGACTCGGTCCCAGTTCTGCCGTAAAGTCCTGGAAATTTCACTTTAGGTCGTGAAAAAGTCCTGGAAAAGTTTTGAAATTTTATCATCCGTGAAAAAGTGTGAACCTGTAAACGTGAACAACGACGGTTTCTGCCTCTTTTTACTGTTGTCGGGGAAAATTGGAGAAAA